GTGCTGATGAAGCTCTGGTTGAGCAGAGCCAGGACGGGCGAACTTTCCAGGACTGTCTCCCGGAGAGTTCGCCCCGAACCTTCAAAGATGGGGATGAGAAGGAGACATTGAACCATCACACATAGCTCTTGATGCTTCAAAGGTGACTTAGAGTTACAGAAATTCAATTGTGCATATGGATAGAATTAAAATACCTGGAGGCATTTACAGACAGCTGTTATATGTTTTATTTCTAGCTCTGGTGTGGGGTTGAGATTTATATCTTGATATCTTATTTTTAAAGACGATTCTCAAATACGAGATCTCTTTTCACAGACCCTTTTAGTCTATCTGTGCTCCAATTCAACCACAAACCGTCCAATGACGTGAAATCTGCTCCTCCTCAATCGTCTCACCTCAGCAGGACTGGTCATCTAAAGCTCCCCACAGCAGAATGGAATGAACCAGCTTGTTCTCGGCCTCAGCTCGCTCAAAAGCCTCAGAGAAAGGCAGGTAGGGCACCTGTAGGGGAGCACGGTTGCACCGGTTAAACAGCTCTGAAAATGCTCTCGTTACACAGCAATGACTGGTGCCCGCGCTCTTGGAGACTAACCTTCTTAAAGGGGTAGAGGGTGACCTCCAGACGGCGGGCAGCTTCTTGCTGACTGATCTCTGAGCTCCAGTGAATTTCCTCGAAGACAAACTGAATTGGCTCGCCGCTGCCGTCCCGACTGTCGATGACGTTTCCCTCCTCATCCACAATCTGGGAGGGAGTTGAGGGGCCAGTGGACTGCAGCTCCAACTGCAAACACACATTCGCATGACAAACGCTGGACATTTTAAACTGTGCGTTTCCTGATGTTTTAATCCGGCAAAGCAGTCAGAAGGCAGTCCCTGCAGCTGTACCTGAGGCAGGTAGCCAATGTCCACCTCCATGTTACTGCTCTCGCTGGCTCCATAGAGCCACTCCATGTCCACGTTCAGAGACCTGCGGCACAGCAGCACAGGTCACCTCATACCTGCACTGTCGTGTGTAAAAGGCAGACAGGTTGACGGCGTGTGTGAGGCGTTTACCTGTCACTGGGGACGTAAAGGTGAAAGTGGCGGACGTGGGACGCGTCTTTAGAGAGGACGATGTTCCCCGTGAACTGGCCCGGGGTGAACCAGAAGGGGAAGTCTGGAACGTCGTTGAGCTGGAACTCTGCATGAATCCTGCATTGGTCCAAAGAATCAGAAGCTGAGTTTTTTTGTACTGAAAAAATGTCCGTTTCACTTGAATCTATGCCTGGAATGGGGCCCGATGCGAGTCACCTCATAAATCAGAAAGCGCTTGGAGGATATGTGGGACTGGATCTGAAGGGTGAACAGCTAACTCTGAAGAGATTCTGAGATTCATTGTTTGAATCTCTACAGTAAGCCCCAAAGTGAGGAATGCATCATTTAGGATATAAAGGGCACAAATGTTAAAAAGCTAAGTCTCCTAGACCTTTATCTGACTCACCTGAAAACGATGTCATAGTAAAAGTCACTGCTGGCGCGGATGCAGGCGACCATGCCCTGAGGAGCAAAGCGGGTCTTGATGAAGGGTCGGGGGTGGAACATGCTCAGCAAGGTGTGGATTAGAACCTGCAGCAGGAGGATTTAAGCAGCCATTAGCACGAAGCATAAGTGAAAATTAAAACCTGAGATTAGATAAGAGTGTATTTCAAAGGACCTCTTTGCCCTTTGGGGTAGGAGGGTGGTATCTGTTGTTAGGCAGGTATCCAGTGAAAATGTTGAGCTCGCTGGGAATCACCCACCACGTGTCTCCAACTTCTAATTTGTTTTTTGTGGGGAGAAACACCCTGAACTGGCTGGCAGAGAATGATGACGAAGGCACTGCAGGGCTCTTCCAGGAGCGGAGTCCACTAAGAGAGCTGTGGGAGACCTGACAGAAAAAGTCAGCTCATCAGAAGGGTCGCTGTGTTTTTGATTAACAGGCCAATCTGCAAGTCAAAAATAACTGAAGTGCAATTTTTCTGTTGGACAGTATCTTGAATTTACAAAAAACACAAAGATAAGATCAACTTATTAAAAGAGTTAAATGCCACTCTGTTTCATGTCGTTTTACCCCAAGAAAACCATCCTTGCTCTTGGTCATGGAGTCAAGCTGCAGAGGCTGCATTTTTGCCTCCAAGATCAAAGTCTCTCCATTGGGGTCATGGACTATTTCCTCCTCCAAATCCACTGTGGGTGTAATGCCTGTGAGGAAATCGTAGTAATCAGTTTGTTATGTGCATGCCAGAAGGCAATCAGGGTGAAAGAGGACCAATTAAAAAATAAATAGCCAAAATGATGAACCTGTGAGCTTCTCTGCGATGGGTTTAAACTCCTCTGGACTGAGGTAGAGGTCATGGTCGGTGTCTAAGGAGGAGAACAGAAAAATGCCCTCGGCACCCAGAGCTCGGACACTCTCCTCCTGAAGGAGAAACATGAGCATCGGAGTAATATTTATTGTCATTAAAAGCACTTAAGAGACTTTCAATTCAGGTTAATTAATGAATAAATAAATAAATAGACTTTCAATGCAGCAACCAAACTAGGACAAAATAACAATGTAGTAACTTTTAACTAGAACATGACTAATCAGATAGATTTCACAGACACTACTGCTGATATACGGTAATAAACAGAAAAAAATCTCTTTAAAGAAAATGACAGCAGGGGAGTGTTTGGTCTGTTTTATCTGACATCATCAAGCCTGCTTGGATAAAGGTCAGCCCCGAGGCCACAGCTTGCTTTCACGAATCTCAGTCAGACCTCTCTTTTTTAAGACAGAAGCGTGCCTCCCAGAGTCTGTACAATGGAGAGGAGGGGGGTTGGGAGACCTACTGTAGCTCAACAAACGTGGGCTTAAAAGCTGCGGGTTGTCTTTCCAGCTGGCACACAGGCCCACCCAGCTAATAAAAACGAGGAATGAGAAACAGCAAAGAAGCGCTTGTAGCTATGTCAAATTATTTCTAAAAATAAAAATACATTTTTAAAAGAGAATTTGAAGGAGAATCCTACTGGATGATAATAACAGACTCATTCACATCGGCTAACAAAAGGTCATTACATGCAGCACCAGATTAATTAGTGCAAAGTTTCGGATGAAGTGTGACACGGGCGTTCGGTTCCAGATGTGCATCTTACATGTCTTCTGAGGAGCCGAGCATCCTGGTAATACTTGATCCCGAAAGCGATAAAGGGGACAGCAAAGACCAACAGCAGGGTCCACAGCCCCCTGTAGAACCAGGACCCGGAGCCCGGGGTCCGGCGCCCATTCTGCCGACCCTCGCTGTCTTTATCAAAGCTGTTTTTATCCACGTCTGCGGCCATCCTTCAACACAGCTACTTAGACGAGGTCATGGCACTCCGAAAACGCTCTAAAACAGCTGCCAGGACAGATTCTTCAGGGTGAACTTTCTTCTCCGGTGTGTGGAAAAAGTGACAGAAAGCTTCAGCGAGACACAGGTCAGTTGACGGCGCGTTTTGGTCAAACCGTTACGGACGCTGGCAACAGCTGTGAACCGTTAGCTAGCAGCACAGATTTCTTATTTCCCACATCCCATCTGGAAACCTATGACTGTGGTTGGAAGCCTCAAATTAGCCAATGATCGACAAAAGAAACCGGAAATGTAGTGTTCGAATTCTCAAAATTAAAGCTTGAGTTCTGTAGTTGGCTCTCGGGTAAGTTCAGACTTTAAATACTTAAGTTGATACTCGTTATAAGCAGTGGCGTCTTTCATAAAATAAACTCATCTTATAGTGTGTAATTGCTTTGTGAGATATCAAAATATGTGTACACGGTGATACTCGTAGTGAAACGTTAAATTAAGATGTTGGCAAAGATTAGCAAGACATTTATTTTTCTTTCAACATTACTCTGTTTTTCTTTTTAGAAAATGCTCAACAGCCTTTTTTTCCACAGATGCTCTTATTTTAAAAAGAAAAGCCGGAAACAACCCCTTACTCTGTTTTAGCTAACTGTAACTTGGCACGAGAGCTGCATTTAAAGGGGCAGGGTCTCTTGTTCGTCCAAAGAGTGTCAGTTAAGAATCTTCAATTATATGTTTCAGTGCCAGAGGAATCTTTTGGAATTTTTGTTCATGTTTTTCTGTAACATGGCCTCAAATCACCCAACAAAGAAGGACAGTTTGTTCTTGGAAATTGTTCACAGACCAACAGCCTACATAGATCGTAACGATAAGATATCTGCCTCATGGACGATTAAACCCTGGAAAATGTGTAACCAAGGGCAAAATAAGCATGTGGTGTTCGAAAACGTAACTTTGGGTGTTGGAAAACCTCTGCTTACATTTCTAACCAACTTCCCTAGTTTTAACCTTTTTGTTCTGCTATTAGAAAACATTTTTTTTATGTTGTCATGTTAGTGGACAGTTAACAACAGCAAACATAGAAAACACACAAGACCAATAGGAAGCAGACATCTCATATTTATATAATACCATATTTCTCTTGTTTTTGTCTGATACAATTATGCACATTTTATCTAAATACCATATCACAAGGATCTGCTACTGTGTATTTACATGAGTGATGTGTGGCATTACTCATCTAAAGCCCCTTCCTGATCCAGGATAAAAAAAATTTAATCACAGCTGTTTTAAGAACAGATGTAACTCTTCACAAAGAAGCATGCTACAATGCATCTGGAATTGTAATAATTAATAACAAAAGCGTGATTTACATTGTGAACGCTTCTGCGGTTGAGTAGATGGCTGTACGGATTACAGTGTAAGGATTTCAGTCCATGTCCTCCTCCACAGGCTGCGTTTTGACCTCAATGGTTTTAGGTGGGATGTAGGAGCCCATACCGGCTGCTCTCTCTGCCTCTGCTTGGGTGTAGGGCTCCTCCCTGAGCTGCTTCAACCTGAGTGGGAAAAACATGACGTAATCTTTATGTCCAAACCACCCATAGATAATTACACAGTGCACCTTAAGTGTGACTGTATCTTACCGTTTCTTATGCACTTTAGTTTTGAAGTGCTCTTTCAAGGATCTCATGTCCACAAAATATCTCCTGCAAACACATTAATTACAAAAGGATGAAGAGGCTATCACAGCTAGTGATTCAATCAAGCAACTTTTGACAATGCACATATGCAGTCAGCTCATTTAGTCATACTTCCATGTACTGTCAGGACATGTGCTGTACCATCAGTACTACAGTTTCTTTTATAAATAACCAATTTTACAGTGCAAACCCACCAGTTAAACT